GTTAAAATATATGTTTATCAAATAAAGTCTAATGTTACAACTAATCATGGATCCCTTTAAAAGTAAAACAAAACCAAGAAAGGAGAAAAATTTGTTGCGCTACATTAATTTAAGGGCTCACAAAGCCAAGAGCAAGCTGGAAATAAAAACACACCTGGAACAAGCCACTTACTGTGAATGTCAGGAGGTGTGCTTCGGTGCACTTCTCTGTGCCAGACTGTAAACAAACGTTCGGAGGATGATCGGCTCTCCGTTTGCTCTGTCTGCACGGGGGTTTGCTCTCCTTACAGACATTATCTGGAAGTTTCCACGAGTGCTGCGCACAGGAGCTTTTTTACTTACAGAATGAGTTTTTGTTCGACGAGGAGGAAACATCACAGACTCAACACAGCACAAGGCCGACACACGGGGGGGGGATTTGTAAATACTCTCCATAATACCCCTTCACACCCACGCAGTCTGTCAGAGTTGGGTGCCAGCAGAAAGACGACTGTTGATTGTACGCACCGCGGTACGTGTGTGTGATGTTGGACCGAGGTAAAGGAAGACTCTGTCAGCTTTGGATGTCCGATTTTCTCTCTCCCACCTGAAGACGACGCTCACATCTGAGCCGCTTGTTGAGTTGATTTTCTCCAAGGCAACCACTTCTCTAATGTTTGTCATACGCAGGTGCTCGGGACATTCGAAGCAAGAAGAGAATCCAAACCAAATAGAAAGAAGAAAAAAAAAAAAACGTTCACGTGATTCATTTACATTTGAATTTTGAAAGTTAAAATTTAGAACAGGGTTTAAAATCTTCTAAAGTTCTCAACAACCAAGCTCCATCATATAATAAASATCTTATTGTTCCATACTTTCCTAACAGAGCACTTCGTTCACAGACTGCAGGTTTACTTGTGGTTCCTGGAGTTTTAAAGTAGAATAGGAGGCAGAGCTTTCTGTTATGAAGCTCCTCTCTTCTGAATCCAACTTAGTTTCTGTCTGTGAGGCTGACACTCTGTCTACTTTTAGACTAAACTTAAGTTTTTCCTTTTAGATAAACCMTATAGTTAAGGAAACCCAAACCAACTTGAGGTATCCCTTAGTTCTGATAGGCTTAGACTACTGGACAACAAACTGAGCACATTTCCTCACTCTGCTGCCGTCTTTGTCTCTAAACTTCAAGTTTATGCAATTAATACAATTAATTTATGTTTTAAATTGTTTTTCTTCTGATAGGAACTAAACTTGGACCATAGGACCTACAACTGGACAATACAAACTACCCGGACCATAGGAACACTTTAACCATTGGACTTGCACCTGGAAAACACAAACTACATCTGACCAAAGGACCTACACCTGGGCCATCGACACTACACCTGCACCACAGATAATACACTATAACCATAGGAAATACACCTGGGTTATAGGAACAACCACCTGGATCAAAGAACTACACATGGGTCATAGGAACTACAACTAGGCTATAGAAACTTCATCTGACCATAGAAACTACACTTGGACCAGAAACTAAACCTGGACCATAGAAAAGACACAAGAGACATAGTAATTAAACCTGAACGACAGAACTACACCTAGACCATAGGAACTTTATCTGACCATAGAAACTATACTTGGACCAGAAAATAACCTGGACCATAGAAAAGACACTATAGAGACATAGTAATTAAACCTGAACCATAGTAATTAAACCTGAACGACAGAACTACAAATGGGCTATAGGAACTACAAATGGACCATAGGAACTACAAATGGACCATAGGAACTACAAATGGACCATAGGAACTACAAATGGACCATAGGAACTACAAATGGGCCATAGGAACTACAAATGGGCCATAGAAACTACAAATGGACCATAGGAACTACAAATGGACCACAGAAACTACAAATGGACCACAGAAACTACAAATGGACCATAGGAACTACAAATGGACCATAGAAACTACAAATGGACCACAGAAACTACAAATGGACCGTAGGAACTACAAATGGACCATAGAAACTACACATGAAACTTTTATGTTTGTCTCTTTCTCTGAGCCCTCAGATGATGGAGGCAGCCAGCCTTTGAGCAGATGAACACCTTCTGAACCATTAGATGAACAAAAAAAAAAAAAAAAAAAAAAGGGGGGGGGGGGTGGGGGGCAAAAGAAACTAAAACGTCTAAAATATTCTGAAAGTTCAGCTCAGGCAGCAGAACTTCGTGCGTCTCTCTGTCAGAGTTTCTTGGGGCTGAGTTGGTGAWTCAGCGCTCAGACAGCTGACATCACCTCTGGCTCGGCCGCTGTTTGTACTCCTGCCTGAAGCTGTCCAGACAGAAGTGACAAAAACCTCTGAAGATTTAAAACGGACTCTCAGGACAGTGGGAGAGAAAAGATCCCAGGCAGGGARCCGCCTGTGAAAAATCTCTAACTCTTCAAACATTAAAACTTCAGTTTGTTCTTTTTTAAATAAATAAAAAAATGTAGAAAACTTTAAATCCAGATTTCGGCTGGTAAATTAGTCAAAATCCAAACCAACAACCTTTGTTCAAAGTAATAATAAATCTAAGAGTGCAAAACTAAACAAGAACCTGAGCAGAAACTGAAAGTCCTTTTGATCTTTACTCCACCTGCTGGAGACATGGTGTGGTTCCCTTAAGAAAAAAATAACCCTCATTCAGGCCRTTTTCTTCTGCYCAGGTTCTGGTTCAGGTTCTGATAATGCTTCATGCAAACTGGTTTCTACATCAGTGTTGCACAGAGAAATTAATACATTTAGCCAGTCTTTACTGCTTTTAGCTACTACTCTGCTACTTTAGCTTTTAGCTAACATTTGGCTACTTTATGCTAGACCACTGATACAGTCTCAGCTGGGGTTTTGCTGCTTTTAACATTTAGATAACCTTTTGATACGTATTACTTTTATTTTCTAGCTAGCCTTTTTTTTTTACTTAAGCTACCATTTACAGTTCTTGTTTTTAGCCAGTGTTTTAATTTTAGCTAGGATTTTGCAACTTTAGCTCGACTAACTTTTCGCATTTAACCTATCGTTTTGCAACATTTAGCTTCTATTTTGCTACTCTAAGTGTGCATTTTACCAAATTTCAAATACTCTTAGATAACATTTAGATACTAACTTAATTTTATTAAACAATTTGGTACTTTTTGCTTATAGCAAACCTTTATTTTGAACTTTAGCATTTAACCCTTGTTTTTATCAAGTGTATTAGTTTTAGGTAGATTTTGGAACCTTAACATATTTTGCTTTTAAGCTAGCTTTTTGCTACATTTAGCTACTATGCATTTTGCCACACTTTAAAATACTTAAGCTAAACTTTTGCTGCATTTAGCTAATATTTTGTGGTTTTATGCACAGTCTGGACAAGTATTTGATACTATTTATATTTTAGTATCAAATACTTGTTTTTATCTGTTATAATTTTTGTGCTTTTGGCTTTTAGCTAGCACTTTGCATTTTTAGCTTCAAAAATTCAGTTTAATTCAGCTGCCATTCAGCATTTTCAAAAAAAGTTTTTTTCTACTTTTAAATTTGTTTTTATTCATTTATATTTTAAAATATGCATTAAAATACAGATTAGTTTTTTAATATAAAAGATTTAATTTGGAATAAACTTAAATCTCAGAGGACGCACCAGGAGGACCTGAACTGGACACCATATTTGACCTTTGACCCACAGCTGACGCGGCTCACACATTAAAGAAAAAAAAAATCAAATTTAAAACTGTTTTAACGTTAATATGAATGAACAGGTTTTATTCGTCCCTCTGAGCCCCTCCTCCCTCCTCCCAGGTGTCAGCAGCACTTCACCCAAATATAAACTTTCTTGGCCCGCTGACAGACTTTCAGAGGAGGAGTTAGTTGGTCAGTACAGCTCAGGACAGACTGAAGGACAAACAAGCAGATGGGAGCTGACCACTGACCACCTGAAGACGTATGTTTTTACAACACCGACGCCTCTTTCTGCACAGCAACAGCAGCAGGCCTTCCCTCAGCTGCTGCTTGTTTTTTGAACGACCGGCGTCCAATCAGAAATGTTGAAAGAGATTTGTTGTTTGGATTTGGGCTCACTTTACACAGCACCGGACACCACTTTTTGTAGATGTCTCTGTCTCCGGCTGCTTTAGCTGCTCGTCGGGTGCTTTCGGCTGCGTCAGAAGCGAGTCCTGAGGGAGGAGGTCAGTGTGTGTTTACTGACCTTTTTACACTCGATCAGGTGTGTCCCAGTCCTGGGCGAGGGCCGCTGTCCCGCATGTTTTTATTCGTTTCCCCGYTCCGGTGACTGAATGAACTCCTAAAGTTGTAATCAGGTGAGTTGGAGCAGAGAAGCCCCTGAAACCTGCAGGAAAGCGGCCCCCCAGGACCAGGATTGGACACTCCTKAACTAAAGAAGTCTGTTTTTGTTAAAGCAGAAAAGGCAAAGAGTTTGAGGTTAAATACTAACAGTTGTTGGTCCCGTTTGCCCCACCTCCGCAGCCAGGACCTGGAAGATCCTGACCATCTTTCTGGCCTTCCCCGGCGTCGGCGTCTGCATGAAGATGCAGAATCCCTCGCACGAACAGCCCGAGCTCGTGCCCTACCAACACCTGTGTATCCGCACCAAGGTGAGTTCTGGCTCATTTACAGACGACTCAGATTTAAACAAAACAAAAACACACAAACGCTRTGCTCTTCCTGAGATTCCCATGGAGCGACGGAGACCACACTCTGTTCCACAACTCACACACCACCCGGCGGCTACGAGACCTCCGGTCATCACCGAGACGCCTCCAGCTCCACACCTGCTCAGATTTTACACATTAAACACAAATAAACCAGAGCAGCTTCAGTTTCCTGGTTTAATCATTTCCTACATAAATATTATAGCTATTAGCATTTAGCGTGTTAGCATTTAAGATGTTTCCTACGGGATCAATCTTGTGCCAGCAGGAATTAAATCTGAATTGCTCAGATTGAATCTGAATGTGCGGAATTTGAAATCGAATGAATTGGTTTGAAAATTAATTTCACTAAACTGAAACTGAATTTAAAGTTTTGAATTAATTTGCTTTGAAACTGTATTTTGGTTTATTAAAAATTCAGTTTGACTCCTTTCAATTTCAGTTCCATAACTCAGATTTTTGTGTCACATCCTGGTCCTTGAGAAAGCCAGGCAGAGTAATCAAACACAGATCCACAGATTTATGTTTCACTTTGGTGAAGTTTCCCTTCTGGATGTAACAGAGTTGATGCAATCCACTGTAAAAGTGACAAAAACAGACAAAGTTATTTTATTGCAGTGATTAATTTGACCTATATGTAGAAAATGTTACATTTACATCATGGATCAGTCAGCAGCAGCATCTGATCAATATGTGATCCATGATGTAAATGTAACATTTTCTACATATAGGTCAAATTAATCAAAATAACTGTCTGTTTTTGTCACATTTACAGTGGATTGCATCAACTCTGTTACATACAGAAGAGAAACTTCACCAAAGTGAAACATAAATCTGTGGATCTGTGTTTGATTACTCTGCCTGGCTTTCTCAAGGACCAGGATGTGACACAAAAATCTGAATTTTTAATAAACCAAAATACAGTTTCAAAGCAAATTAATTCAGATACAAAACTTTAAACTCAGTTTCAATTTAGTGAAATTCATTTTCAAATCAATGTATTCAATTTCTGCACATTCAGATTCAATTCCTGCTGGCACAAGATTGATCCCGTAGCTTCCTKGGTGGAATGATTTGTTCATGACTTTGGTTCTAAATGAAGAGAAAAGATGGGTAATCCTGTTTCTACTGACAAAAAAACAAAACACCGACAGAAGTGATGTTACATATTTAGTGGTATAAATTTAATTTATACGGGGACAGCTGAAACTCTTACATCTGTCGTTCTATATCATCTCTATGTACAAAATAAACAACTAAATCCTGATGAATCTTACATCACGTTTCATTTGATTCATCTTTACTCAAATAAAAAAAAATACAAATAAAAAAAATCATGTTAGAAATGAGACTTTTACAGAACCTAAATGTTTTGAGATGGTGAAAATAAACTGACATTAAAGAATTTATAAGTTTTGTTTCAGGTAAAGATGAAAGAGCAGCTGAAGCAGCTCGGAGCTCTCTGCTGGTTTCACCTCCTTGTTCAGCTCAGAGCCTCACAGACCAGACTCTGCAGCTCCTGCTTCAGGCTCTCCCTGCAGTCCGCCTCCCGGGTCAGCCTGCGAAGGCAACCCGCGGCGGCCGACTCCGGGAACGGCGGCGGGCCGTCCCGGCGGCCCAGCAGCAGAGACAGGCAGGCCCGACCCAGAGCCGGGTAGCTGTGGCGCTGAGAGAACCAGAACAGCTGGGGCAGCAGCGAGAACAGAACTCCGCTCCAAGCAGCGGCTTCTGAGGGCGACGGAACTGGTCTCAGCGGGTTCTTTGGTTCCGCCTCCGGATCGAGGGATTTGTTCACGAGGACCGGTTTGGAACCAGAGATCACTCGTTCGATGGTGCTCTGGTCCAAACCCGTGTTGAGTCGGGTGATGACGTCCTGGATCGTTTCGCTTTCCGCTTCCTGGAGGAGAGTTTTCAGTGTTTTCGTCCGGCCCGTCAGCTCCAGCTCGGACGTCAGAGTCGCCAGGTTCTCCTCGGTGGGCTCACCGCAGTCTCGGCCCGTTTCAGACCCGGTCTTTTTGGTTTGTTCRCTGCGAGCGGCGGAGCAGGACCAGAGAAACGATACCAGGATGTCCTCCAGCTCCCGCTGAAGCCCACCGACCAAAAACCTGCAGGCTCCGACCATYGCCTCCCCCACAGGGGTTTTCTGGAAGTCTTCACCCGAGGGAGCTTTGGTCCCGTCCAGACGGGCGACCGGACCATCGTGGACCAGAGAGTCCAAAACCGGACAGGGCGGAGTGTTGCCGAGGCGACACCCGTGCAGGTAATGCAGCACCGGCAGCAGCACGCCTGCGCCCACRTCTTTGATGTGAATCGGTTCTGCTGCGTCGCCCTGAGCTTCTCCAAACCCGCCTCTCAGCAGAGCTCTGAAGTATTCAGAACCGGTTCCGTCCGGAYGCTCCGCTCCAGCCACGGCCTCCCTGTTGGCCGGGACCCGGGTCCCATCGTCCAGCAGCAGAACCAGGTCGAAGTCCGAGTCTCCGTAAGGACACGTGTCCACGAGGCGGGGCCTTTTCACCGGAGGGGGGGCGTCTCCGTCGGACTCGTTGATTACGACCGGACCTGGGTTCTTCGCGACCCGGTCCRATTTAACGGCGCTCATCAGAGCGGACAGGCAGCCGGTCAGGAGAGAGAAGTACAGAGAAGGTAGAGAGGTCACACCTGAATGTGGAGAATTAAACGAGTCAAACAGCAGGCCTCCACGGTGCTCCTCCTCCTCATCATCATCATCATCATCTTCATCATCATCTTCTTCATCGTCACACCCAAGAGGCTGCAGAGCCAAACGGAGACCACCGCTGTCCAGAAGCAGCTTCTTCAGCTGAGACTTGTTGCTGTGGAGAAACAGACATTTACAGCCACACGTTGCCATAAAATACACATTTATATTTTTTTTCCACAAAGTTTCACAACTTCTAAATGTAAACATTTGCTSTGTTCGACACGTTCCACTGAGAATAAAGTCACTAAATAAAGTTCAAATCATTTGGTCAGAACCAGGTGAACAAACCAAAGTCTACAGTAAATCAATCAATCAATAAAAAGATTAATTTGTCATWTCTGTGACTCACCTGCAGATGAACGGTAAAGACAGCGCACAGTTGATCTTGTCCGACTCAGAACCTGACAGCATCACGTGTGCGAGAACACCAGAACCAAAGCCAGACTCACACTGGACTCGCAGGTTAGTCAGAAGAGTGTCACCTACAGAGAAAAAACTGTCAGTGCAAATTTCAAATTGAAAGGGATCCAGGATTAGTTGTAACATTAGACTTTATTTGATAAACATTTTTTTAACTGTAAAATAAAGACTGTAAAAATTACTGTAGGATGTTCAGTTTTTATAATTTTTAAACTAAAAGCTTAAAAATATATTTTAACACAGACGGAGCCATTTTATTTCCACACAAAGCATTCTGGGTAAATGATGACGTGGATAGGTCCTCGGTGCGAGGCTGCTAGCGAGCTATATCCACCCTGAAGGTTAATCTTGGACAATATCTGATGATCGACTCTTTTAAATGAAACCAGAGAGCGTTGACAGAGAGGAGAAGGTAGAAATGACTCAGCCTGGAACTGAAAATATGGATGGAGGACAACAGTTTAGCTTTTATTTGTCACGCTAGCGCCGAGCTAATACGTATGAGGCAATATAGCGTTGGTGCTAACACTAAAGCTAACAGGCTAAACTGGGGTTCTTCTTCCATGAAGCAGCTCTGTTGTCCTCCATCCATATTTTCAGTATAGCAGCCTCGCACCGAGGACCTATCCACGTCATCATTTACCCAGAATGCTTTGTGTGTAAATAAAATGGCCCCGTCTGTGTTAAAATATTTTTAAAAATTATAGAAGCTAAACATCCTACAGTATTTTTACAGTCTTTAAAATATACGTTTATCAAATAAAGTCTAATGTTACAAAGATCCGTTTAAAAGATATTCACATGACAAAAAAATAAATAAAAATAAATAAACGTGACCAATCCAGAAATAAAAGCAGATTTCTCCTCTCACCCAGCTGTTGGACTTTAGCTTTCACTCGGTCCGTCTGCCGCTCCCGCCCCCCCGCTCCACCTCCCCTCTGGCAGAGGTGGTGGCGAATCAGCGCCACGGAGCCGGTGCGGAGCAGCGCCTGCAAACAGTTGGGGTTGCAGCTGAGGCGGCACAGCATGCGGAAGCACCTGGCGCTGGGGTCCTGGTGGCGGGTGAGGTAGAAGAGCAGGCCGGACACGACGCCCGGGCTGACCAGGGCGGCGCTGGGGTCCGGGGCGTGGGAGAAGCGGGACAGCAGCAGCAGGACGGGCGACTCCGACGTCCAGGGCTCGGGGTGGTACGGGTGGTGATACGCCACCGAGCGAGGCGCAGCAGGAKGGGGGCTTTCAAGAGTGACTTGAGTCACAACAGCTGCTGCTTGAGATCTCCTCCTTTTCTGCGGGGAGGAGAACTTGTTCGGCGAGACGGGCGTTTGGGTCGGATTGTCTGAATTATTGGTGGAAGAAGAGTTCTGGGTTTTGGGCGCAGGGTCTGTGACGCTGCCTGGAGAAGAGGACGACGCTGGTTGAGCTGCCTTTTTAGGAGGAACTGAAGGGGAGTTTCTGAGAGGCGGACTGGAATACGGGTTCGGGGAGGAGGTTTGAGGGGACGAAACTGGCGGGACCTGAGGACTGCCCCATTCTGCGTCGACACTGGAGGAGTCCAGCAGCTCCCCCTCAGAAGATATCAACCCTTCTGACAGCAGCCAGGACCTGCACAGAGTCAGGAGCAACAAAAACTTAATGCAGATCTTTTATCAGTGTGTGGGGTAGATTTATGAATGGATTAAATGATGAGCTCAAAAAAAGTACAAACATAAACCAGCTTCAAAAAAATGTTTTAAAAGGAGCTTACTGGGAAATATGTTATGTAGGATGGGTGTCTCAATATTATTTATATTAAAAATGTATAAATAATTGTACATGTAAGGATGAGAATGTAAGATTTAATGCTCATTCAATGTGTTTATGTGGTGTGAGAACATTTAAATGTTATAAGTATGAGAAGGGCAGGAAATGAAAAGATCTTGTATCCTTTACCTGCTGCTTTTCGAACAAATAATGACAAAAGGACCTGCCTAGAATGGATTAATACTTCAAGAAAAAAAT